ACGATCGAAGAGAAAATAAAATAGCCATTACTTACCTTCGTAAAACCTTTCGCTGCTTCGCTTGTTACAACGTGACCGTTTCCATATCATGCTTTAATTAATCCCTTAATTTATATTGTACACAACTCGGACGCGACAAAGATGTACAGTAGAAGCTCGTTAATTCAGAGTAGTCGGGGTGGAGGCGATTCGGATTAAGCGATAATCCGGATTAGCGACGTAGAAGGTAGCATGAAAAATTTAATAATCTTGTAACTAAATACAGATACTATCTATACAGTAGTACTATCATACAATCTCGAATACGGAGCTCGATGCGAAATAGGTTTGTTCTACAACTATCGTGCAATATTACAACAAATTTCGAAATAGTAGAGGATAAAAAATAACATTTTTCGCGGTACGTGTCCGAGCATTCCAGCTAGCTGCTCAACGGTAAAGCACTCGAATCTGTTTCGTGCTGTTGAATAATTGCAACATGGAGAAAATACAAATATAGTAGATAAAATGCATAAATCGGGTTCGAAAAATCGAATCGGGGCTACGTAATAATTTGTAAGCGATCGCGGGTAGCGACAGTGGGGTTTTTGTTTCGTTGCGTTTCCTGTCGGATTCGAGGAGAAGACTCGACGGAGAAGAGAGGCTGGATGAATCGCGGCGCGAACGCGGTTTAATCCCCGGATGTCGGGACGTTTTAAATTTCAATTATAGACCGAGAGGGGTAGGCGCGCGAGCCACGTCGCTCGTACGTGTAAATACGCGACTCGATTGTCCGGTCGGTCAATAAAATGCTGCATTCTGAATATATATCGCGGCAACCAAGCCGGTGTCAGGCGCGGTATCGGGTGGAGAGGGGAACATCGCTAATAATTAAATGCCGGCCGGATTGGTTCGAACGTTGTTTTAATCCTGTCATTACCCACAATGACGATAGCACCCATGCCGCGGTCATTCATTGAGGCGAGTCAATTACGGAAGAGCATTATCGAGTTTCGAAGGGTGTAAAACGGGAAATAATGATATTTTGATCGTGGCCGCCCTCTCGACGCGTTTCGATCGCGTTTCACCGCTGTAAACCCTGTGTCAAAGCGGCGAAGTAACAGAGATCTGTGTACACGGTCAAACGCGTTCACTGATTTATGCACGACGACGAGTGTACCAACGTAATTCAACACGATCGAATGGTCCGGATAATTCGACGGGAATTTCCTCCGAAATAAAGAAAGCCCGATCGTTGATGAAACAGCACTTTTATCAGCGCTTCGCCAAACCCGATAATTAATCCCCGCGATCGAACAAAACGCGTCGATCTCTCTTTATTTACGGACAAGTGAATTTCTGGCGAACGTTCGGTGGATAGGTTTCGAGGACACCCTGTATATCGCGAGCCCCCCCCTGTAATCTTTCACCGGGGCCCTCTATCTCCACCCACGGCGGGCAATACAGTACGTCTTCCACACGGGCCTCGTTTTTATTGGCATCGCGTGGTGGTAATTAATAACGGCGCGATGCCTACCGGTGGTCCGATGCGTATAAGGTACATTGGCTGTGATTTATGGAAGCGTAATGAAGCCTGTTCCCCGCAGGAGCCCCGAGAACCGAGGGGATGTACGCGGTTGGTAGATCCGCGACGAACGAGGCGAAAGGGAGAACGGTCCAAGGAGAAACTGTGAGAGATACTTACTCCTTGGGTGCAATAACGCGTGTCTGACTAAGAAGGGAGATCTCCATCTGGTAAAGATGTCTGACACTGTAAAGCGCGTATCCTGCGACTGAAACTACCCGCCTATTCCCCCGGACAAAGGGAACGACGCCTCGTCTCGAAATCGTTCTCTTCTTCTTCGCTCCTGCTTCTTGTTCGAGCGAGGGTGTATCGTCCGCGTGAATAACGATCAAACGCAAACTCCGCGCTCACGGGCGAACAGAAATAAACAAGCTGGAATTAAGTAAGTGACTCGTATGAAATCCCATTTAATTCTACTTTGCTTTGCCAACTCGAATTCTCGCTTCCACGGGCCCGTAGATCCTCGGATAATCAAAGATACATTCGACGGTGAATTTAAACTGCAGCTACGAGACGATGCACATTTGCATTCTTATCTTCTCCGTGGAACCGACTAGACGTGGTAGAAACTTCTTTAGGGAAACCGTCCTCCCAGGAAAAACCAGTCGAAAGAAATTGGTCCGACGAAAATTTATGCAGGGTCGTGTAACCGGACGCGATGTCCACGAGCTACGTCGACCGACTCGTTTTATATTCTGTGGCTGGATGCCGCGCGGGCCCCTGCCGTCCTTTTCCGGCTGATTCATTTTTAAAAATTCACCAGGACCTCGCACGATCGACGTCCCTTCCTCTCGAATGATACTAAGATGATGCGTCCTGCGTCTCGACGCGCGTCGGACGATCTCTCGGCACTGTCGTTAAGCAACGTGCTTTTTGCTCGCGTTTCGGACCGCAAGGAAATTTACACCGTCGAGAAACGAGAGGAACGCGCGATGGGCGTTCACCGTAATAAAAGAAAAAACCTCGCCACTGGTGGCGAGCGACTCCGAACAAGTTACACCGTACAGAGGGAGATACTTTTTACAGGGGCGAGCCGCAATTTCCTCGGGACAAACTTGCCCGTAATGGGCTGCATACATCATACTTATTCCGCATGAAATAACAATTAAGCGCATTAATTAACAATAAACGAGGATTTCACCGGGGGTCGTGCGTCTGCGAACGCGACTCGTATAAAATGCAGAAACGCGTTCAAAACCCCTCCCCTTCAGTCGGATAAACACCCCAGGAAGAAACGACTGCAGTCGAGCAAACTCGCAACATAATGAAGTCCCTCTTAATGCACTTTCGGACGTCTGGTATTTAAGAACGTGTACAGTGATTATCGACGAAGAACAGCTTGAAATGGTAACCCGCGGGATGCCAGTGGTTCGTAAAACGTACAAAGAATCCACCGCCTTGGAAAAAGGAAAATGCAGCGACTCCGATACTAAAACGATCGTTATCCAAGCGGTAACCGTCGAGTGGTTGCATCGGCATCAAGCGTTCCTTCCGGAAAGTGTCCTTAATGCAAGCAACCTGGTCGCGTAGCACGATACAATGACATTTATCGCGCCGCGACACGAAACTCGTGCGATTCCCCGGGTGCAGGAGCACCTCTAATTGCGCTACGTACTTTTATTCGTACGTTTTTGCCTCGCAGCGGCGTTCCGTGAGTCGGCCCCTCCACGCGACCACGCCATTTCGGCGAACGGAAGGAACGGCTGGCGGCGGCGCGCGGTTTTCAGACGTCCCGGACTAATTTTGCGGTTCGCCGTTTCAGAAGTCGCGGTCGTACCGAATGCGACTCGAAAAGAGGCATTAGGTAAATGGAAAATTGCTCGCATTCCTCGTGCTCGGCGATTAAAACATATATTCCTTTTTTTTCTCCTCTCTTTCTACCACGGCGGCGAGAAGCCTTCGAACGAAGGTTCTCGAATAATTACCCGACACGGCGCGCTGGCCGAGCAAGTTCCTTCCGGGACGGACGAGAAGGTAGAAACGAAATTACCAAATTACCCTCGAGCAACGTCGGCGAAAGAAGCACGAAATAACAGGCTCGATGGAAATAAAACGGCCATTCCGACTTCTCGATATCGATCTCGATGGAGGAGGGGGTGTCGTATCGCGTAGTCGGTATCAATCGCGAGGCAGACGGCGTCGGTCAGGCTGTCGTTGCCGGTGAAAATAAAGAAAAAAAGACGTGTCGACGAAGCGACGCAGGTTTTGTCGGAGACACGGGGGTGTGGGAAACGATGGGGTGAGACTGTCGCGGCCGCGGAACGACTCCGTTTGTCTCGAGGGCCGTGACGCACTCGTTATCGACGTCCTTATACGCGGAACTCATTTGCTTAATTGCCGTGATTACCGGCGACGTCGCCGTCGGAGAAGCCCGCCAGGAGTTTCGTCGAGCGAAAGTGCCTGGCGCGACTACCTTTCCAGCCCGAGCGATGCGTGATTCCCGGGAACGTATGGCGACAACGTGCTCGAGCGAACGCGCGACTACCCCGCGGACCGAACATTCGGGAATGCACGGCACGATGGAACGAGGCCGACAACCTGGAGCCACACGCACCCGTCCGTTCGACGCAGGGTGAAAAATAAGCAGCCCGTTTTCAACGGGGGGAAAAAAGGAGAACAAAGCCCGCGATACAGCAACGCTCTCGCACGAACCTTTCGTTGCGCCTCGGCTCTGTGTCTTGATTGACGCAACCGGTACGAGGCTCGTGAAATTCCGTGTCACGAAACAAATAAACTCACCGTTGCATTAAAATGCAAATGGGGTGAGTCGTGTCCTCCCCGTTCACGGCGCGTAAAACGATTTTTACCAAACCACACTGTACGCAACCGATTAAGTCGCAATACGTGTACCGAAACTCCGCTTTCTTTACGAGATAATTACAATTTAATATTCGTTGAATCGTACCAAACAAAACGCCGTAAGTAAAGTAGTTGACCGTTATCCGAGCGTGAAACAGCGTTAATTTCGTTGCCCTCGAGCGTCGATATGTTCGCATAATTGGATGCGGTCGAATTCTCTGCCGGGAAACTCGACGACAAAGCTTTTTCAAATGAGTTCGCTCGATGCGAAACTCATTGTAGGATAACCAAATAACGAGAGCGACGTTAATTCACAAAATATAACGTTGGCTCGTTGTTGCTGCAAATGATTGTCAGGAACGCGCGTGATTCGAACCGGTGTGACGCTATACAATCGTTGCAGTTGCGAGGCAACACGGTAAATTACACGCGTGAAAAGCTATCCATGTCGATATCTCCCCGTACAATTATATTTTTGGCAACAGGAAGAGGGTAAAATAATCGTAGGCATATTTTTCGTTACAACAGACTTTTATTGCGAATTAGAGGTCTCCCCCTTACTTTGTACAATGATTCAAAGTTCCAGCGTATTGAGATACGCAACGTTATGCGCTTCTTTCTGCATTAAGCATACGGTCCTGCATTAGAAGCGAATATTACGCGGTGGCCGAAGTGGCCCGCGTCATGAAACTGTACCAATTGCCCCCTCGTTTATTATTCCATTAGGTAGCACGGCAGTCTTCCCGTTGTAGCGTCAAGTTATGGAAAGCGCAAATTATTTACGGAGCAAACGTACCCTTAACGTTCGCGCATGCAGATTTACTGCAGCTACTTCTGCTCATTACCGCATACGAAATGCTTGGACCCGTTACTTTTGAATAAATAAATGCATTTTAGTCCGAACGCTGACCATAGGAACGTTCGTTAATAGCTTCTCGATATTTATGGTAGAGGGCGAGACTTGCAACAACATTACCACAGGATACGTTATCCACCGATTTTAACGGGACACCATAGACGGATGGAGAACCGTCGTCGACGAATGGCAGAATAATCTGTTAATTTAATTAACATCGGTGCATAACGCGTTGCGTGGGTGTTCACGTTAGATGCTTCAATCGCACCCGGAGCAGAGATCGTGAAACGTTTCGGGGTTGTCGTCGTCTAAGAAGAGACACTTGAAGATATCGTTATAGAAATTAGGGTAATATTCGCAGGCCCTTTTACAGTCTGGTGCGAAATTTACTTCCAACAAAATCGGTTGCATTTCTTCTTTCTTCCATTCCAGCATCAGATCGACCGCGTACACCGCCCGGCTTTGCGGACATTCCGCGATTCCTTTTGGCGGTTTCCCGGCGACCGCGGCCTCGAAGACTTCTCGGAACATGTGCAAAATTTTTGGCTCGATCTCGCCGCTCCAGGAAAAGTCCGGATACTGTCTCTCCCATTCCGAGATAAAGTCCGCGCACTTCACGTGACAAAGCGGTATGTCCTCTGAATAATTCATGACCGTGAAATGCTGTTCGTATACGTCGAAATTATTTAAAGCGAACTCCTTGTTTGCAAATCTTAGGAAGAAATTTTTATAAGCAAACGCCTTCAGAGGCCTCACCGATTTCAACAACACCACGTATCGCACGTCGAATTTAACTTTACCGATTTCCGGCCTCTCGTACAGCACGGGAGTCGCGATATACTTCTGTGCTATCTTCGGCCCCGTGCTGGGCAAACGTAAAATGTGAAATATATTCTTCGTAACGTGTGTGTCTAATCCTCTGGCGAGATTCCAAGGCTTGCAGATCCAATGATTCTCTAAATCCATCGATTCTCTTTGTTCGAAATACGCGACGAATTGCACCAGCTCTGTATGTAAATTGTAAGTAGTCGGTAACCATTTTGGATAAGTTTCAAGAGTGTCAGGATCGTACGGCTTTTCTCCCGCCTTTCTTCTACAGACGATGGATAATAAATCCTTTATAGTCAATACATTTTCGAACGGAAATTGATTCACGAAAACGTGCGGCGAGCGAATACTTAATTCTTTGTATTCCTTAAAGTGAGAAGTGTACCACAAAATATCCGCATCCTCTTCGGTATTTACAATTTCGAACGCAGGATCGGTTAAGTAATCGTTTACATACGTGTAGTGCGAAAAAATTTTTAATTTTGCGTTTCCATCCTTTCGAAGTATTATTTCGGGATTTATCTCTTCCGGTATACTTTCGCGAACATGACCCGCCAGGAAATAGTCGTCATCTGGCTCTGTCTGCAAAAAGCTTTCTTCGAGAAACGATGCATCTATCCATGGTAAAAGTAAAGCTCGTCGGTTTTGTTTACTGTTTGTTTGGCCCTCGATAAAATCTCTTGTAACCTCGTCCTCGTAATCAACGTCTCTTATAGGAAACATCAGTGTGTAGGTAACACCTTCTGGTAAATATAAGAAAGGTACTGTTCTAAAGTTAGGGTCATTGCTATGATTTATCGCAGATCCTACTTCATCCATGATATACCAAATTGGCATTCTGTCTTCTATGGACCCACTGCTTAGAGAAAACGACTGATTGTACCTCCACATTTCATTCAATACATATTCTATTTTTTCATTCTCTTCGCTCTCAATATCAAAACCCATTAGGGTGCACATACGGTCCAAAAGTCCTGGAATATTTGACAAGTTCTGCCTAGCATTAGCAGTATCATAAGTCCATGCATGATCTATCAAATAAATGTTATTTGAATTCTGTGCACAAACACCCTTCTCAGAGGAAACAAACAGTTTCCAAGCAGGATCTTTTGGATCCCTAGATGCACCATCGTAGTCAATTTGTATCAGCTGAAACGCGAGGCCAGAATCAAAAGTTTGATACTGTAATTTTTTAAACAGAGTTTCCCAAAATATTCTTGGCACACCAGAAGATTCTAATTGCGGTTGGTGTGCTTGAAGAAACGTATTGTATAGTCCCACTCCATCCATTGTACGAAAATGCAAATATAATCTGAAAGATTAAAGAAATTATTCTATGTGAAACCACGTGGTTTTGACATTTGAATAGCTTTATTAATTACTTATCGTTCTAATAGAATATAATGTCAATGGTAACTTACCTATATCGTTTCTAAACAGTGTTTAGGATAATTCGCCTGAAAATTCAGAATCTCGATATAAGGAAATATTTGAAAACATAACCTCTCCTTTCATTTAAACTCCATACTCATGTATGACATTTTTACCAGTTTATTACCACGTGTTATCATACAATAATTAAAATTAATTCACATATAGTTACTTGATTTTTAAACCCCAATAGAAATTACAAATAGAATGTTATTAAAAAATTTCTACATAGGGGAATTATTTATAGGGATGTTTTTATGGCGTATGTATAGAGAATTTCATTTCTTACTAGAATACTGACATTTAGGAACAAACATACGAAACGCACTAATGGCCGATTTCGTCCTTCCTGTTGGCGCTTAAAGTGTTTTCGCCGGTGTAACGTAGACAGTGTAAGCCGGCATTTTAAAAAGTGAACTTGATTTTGCCGGGTTGATTTGCGTACAGAAACCTGGGGTAAGTAATTTCTTTGTTCACGGGGAATTCGAGTTTGTAAAATTAGAATTGATCGAAAAGTAATACTTTGTAATTTCTCATAGTAATTTAACTTCGATTTACGCGGTACGTTGCATATCGCACGTGGAATATTAACCTTGTGTTATCGTAAAATTTGAATTCTGTACATACTTGAAAGTAACGTATTTTCGGAGTGTTAATTATTTTTGTCTTATGATAGAATAACATATCTATAAAGTGATAAACAAAATTACGAAGAAAGATGGTTAAAACGGTATCGGAAGAGAAAAAAGATGCAACGTCTAAGGACGTTCTACGTACACCTAAAGAAGGATTTATACAAAAGAAAAAGAATCAAAAGTTTAAACAAACCCCAACGGGCAAAGTTAATTTGATTAATGGATCAAAAGCATCGAACAATAGTAGCACAAAGCAGCAACTTTTGGACAAAAAAAATATTCCTCAAAAAGTAACAGAAAAGAACAAAGACATGAAGAGGAAGGGTTCCCCCAAAAATGCTAAAAAACAGCAATCTAAAAAGGAATTAAATAAAAAAGATTTGGTAGAAAGTGAAGAAGATGACTCTGAGTCAGATGAGGACATTAACGAAGGAATTGTATTACAAGAACAAAGTTTTACACAAGAGAGCGTGGACAGTGAAGATGAAGAGTCTGATGAAGATCAGAGCGAAGAGGAGAAGACTCTACCAAATATTCTTGGAACCAGTTTAGCAGATGATTCTGATGAGGATGATGAAGATTACAAAGAAGGTGAGGAAGAAGATGAAGAGATGAAGACAAAGAAAGGGGTGAAGATGTTTAAAGGATTGAAGGCAAACAACATTGAAAACAATGATGACAGCGAAGAGGAAGAGGATGATGAGGATGAGGATGAGGATGAGGATGAGGATGAGGATGAGGATGTGGATGAGGATGAGGATGAGGATGAGGATGATGTGAATATTGATGATGATAGTGAAGAAGAAAGTGATAGTGTTGGAGAAGATGATGATGATGATGATGATGAAGAGTCAGAGGATGAGGAGGAAGGTGATGAATCTGCTCTTGGTTTGAAAGCTCTCTTAGGTAACAGTCTTGCAGATGATGACGAAGATGAAGATTTTGTTGAACCAGGGGAAAATGATGATGACAGTAGCGAGGAAGAAGAAGATGAGGAGGAAGAGGAAGATGAAACAAATAATAGTATGTCCGAAAGTCCTGAGCAAAGTAAAAACCATGAAGAAAGTTTAGATGACTCTTTAGAAGAACTAAAAGTGGATAAAAAAACTATTTTTGTTGGCAATCTTCCGAAAGAAGTAACAAGAAATCAGTTGAAAAAACAATTCAAGAAATTTGGTAATATCGATACTATACGTTTAAGAGGAGTAGTCGCAAAGTCTATAAATGTACCTAAAAAAGTTGCTGCTATTACTAAAGATGTACACCCTAAATTAAAATCAGTTTATGCATATATTAAGTTTCATACTGAAGAATCTGCTAAAGCAGCACTATCTATGAATGGAGAATTATTTTTGGGAAATCACATGAGAGTAGACACAACTAGCAAACCAGAAGAATCACCTGACAAAAAAAAATGTGTATTTGTAGGAAATTTACATTTTAGTAAGTATCATCTCTTGAATGTAATTAAATAAGTAAAAATAATATATGTATAGTATGAATTAGTTTTAAAACATATTGTAATCCTTAGACACAGATGATGAAGCATTTAGAAAGCACTTTGAAGATTGTGGTGAAATAGAGTCTGTGCGTGTAATCAGGGATAATAGGAGTGGTATAGGCAAGGGATTTGGATATATTAATTTCAAAACTGAAGATGCTGTTGCATTAGCATTAGAATTAGATGGTACAAAAATTTTGAATCGCGACATTAGAGTTAAAATGTTTATGGATCAAAATGAAAGAGGCAAAGATAGACGCGCAAAAAGATCGCTTTCTGCGGATAGTAAAAACAAATATTCATTGAAAAAACAGAAAACGGTACGTATTACAGTAAGTATTTATTAACTTTAACGCCTTGCACTATTTTTACGAGTCTGACTCGTAATCGAACTCGTAAATATCGATTATCTCGCACTCAGTCGTAACATATCGTATTTCAAATTCCAACATTCACGGCTCCTTCCGAATTTCAGCGTAGTGCAAGGGGTTAATCATAGAAATAGATGAGATAAATTTTAAACCTTTATGGATTTCTTTTAGACGCGCAAGGGCAATACCGCGAGTAGAGGGAATGAAAAGAAATTTGGTGGAAATCAAACCAGTCCACAACAATCAAAGACATTTCAAGGGCAAAAAGCCGATGAGAAGAAGAAGAGGTCACCAAATAAATTAGATAAGAAAAAGAAAATTTTGGCCGAAAAATTGGCAGCCAAACCTAAGAAACCGTCAAATTAAGTGGCACCAACGAAAAATGTATTCCTAACTTAAGGCATTTTATTATTTTAATTTTAATCTGTTTGTTTAATTTATATAACAGTGATAAAAACATAACAGTTTATTTTGATAGATTTAAGAGAAAAAAAAAATGTAAACAAATGGTTTAAATGGGTGATATAATGGAACATTTATAACATTTGTGACGATTTGTATTTTTTTTAAGTGCAAGCTGTGGAAAGTGGAGAAGTAAGTATCTAATATCTAATAAAATACTATTTTTATGAATCAATATTTTTTATTAAATTCTTTATTCTAGGATGCATTTGAGTTGGCAAGTTGTGTATATTGATTTTTGCGCATTTCAAACAAATCCGTTTCCCGAAATATATACTACACCCTAGACACACGGGTTTATTACAAAAATTACAATCGCTACCGAGCACTAAAACTTGCCCCTTGTTCGGTAAACTGAAAGGATCTTTCATGATATAACATTCTTCCAAATAAGTTATTTGCCGCGCAAACGGAGGTTTGACTCCTTTGAAATGAAATCGTTCTTGCAACGAGCAATAGGTACACGTAAATACTCCCGCTGTGATTTCCTTCGATTCTCGAACCGTTGTAATAGTACCACGCTTATGTTCGATATCAGATTGACCCATGGATGTGCTAGCGATAGGTTCCATCCTACAAATTAACAAGGACAGGAAATACTCTTATAATTTCTTCGAATAACAAATTTATTTTACAATTACATATTACAATTTTCTGTTTAAAAACAGAACTCTATATAAACTAAAAACATCTCGCGTATATACATTATTTCTTATCAACGGAAACACTTTGTTGTTGCAATTCTTGTGGCCACCACAGAGGCTTTGATACGATTAATTTATGATCTGATATAGTAATAGATTTAGCTCTGAGGGTTTCGGCGATTCGCATTAAAGCCAATCCATATTTTTTTTCGTTTCCTCTAAATTTACCTATCATATTACCGCACTCGTCGACAATTTTTTCGTCGTATGAAAAAGATTTGGAGGGAAGCTCTTCGAACAATAATGGCATTAAACGTTTTCTTACAACACCGGTGTGATAGGTACGTGCTGTAAGTTCTTGACCGATATAACAACCCTTATGAAAACTAATTCCATGTAAATAATCACAATTAACTTCTAAAGGCAGGGGCTTCCCTGGTGGCAAATCCTCGATACCTTCAGGTATTCCAAGTTTGTAAAGGAATGCTTTATAGCTCAATGTACCGTCAGAATTAAGCATATCGGTGTTCAAACGCTTTTGTATTTCGCTCTTTTCAATGTTTGATTCTGCTAAGATTCTAATGCCTAAGTTTGGAAGTCTAGGATCTTCGTACATCATAATATTGTCTATCACTTTGCTTGATTTATTATTTAGAGTACCGCATGGAAATATTAAACCCTCAAGCTTCTGCCTATTATTATCAGCATCCGTATTACTTGAATATCTAGTAATATCAAATAATGCCCAAACATTAATGCTATCTCCTAAATTATCTATATCTACCTTTCTTCTAACACGATACATTTTTAAATGTTTTTGCAACGAATCTACAGCTCGGGAATCGCATTCAATATAATACACATCGTCTTTCTGATTTTTATACACGATAACGTCGTACAACACTCTACCCCTAATATTTAGAAAAAGCGCGTACAAATTGGCTGCTCCTTCTTCGAAGTGCTTCATATCATTTGTAATCAATCCTTGAAGGAAATCTGAAGCTTCGCTCCCTCTAACTCGCAATAAATTCCTAGTTTTTAGATGCTCTAACACTTTAGCCGACGCTTGCAAAGAACCGTATCTAACGAACTGTTTTTGAATTTTTCCAAGTTTATCCAATTTGTAGAACGGTAAAAGAAAGTTTCTAAGGTGGACAATCATTGCACCAAATTTCACCAAAATATTTGTACAAGTCCGACCTTGGTAAAGAAGAGAAATACACGCAACCAGTCAAAAATGAATATAATTTAACCGGTTATAACCTTACAATCAGGTACACTATCGTTACAGAATCACAAAACGAATGAAAAACTCAATCTTACGTTTCTATTTGCTCGTATAAGAATATTTCACAGATTCTCTGTCAATGCTTCATGTGAATTTTAGTTGCAGTTTCCTCTTTTAAAAATTATATTAATATTTTGATTCCTTCACTCATCGATGAAATGGAATTCACAACTCAATTCCAATCATGAGGGGTGCTAAATTCGAATTCCAGTGTGAATCGATAGCGTTGGAAGTGTCACGGTCAATAAGGAAGAAACCCTTGCTAAAAAACGGTATTACCATTTGCGGCTAATAGTTTCAACCCTTTGCCTCCAGATGTAGACACGATTCGATAGTCGAAAATACAAAAAATGAATTATTATTTTAATTTTGTATATCAAGGAGTATCTTTTATTGTAGATAATTTAATATATAACGAAAATAAGAGAAAAAAAACGTTAGGATGTAAATTATTTGTATCAATAATTTCGTGACTTACTGTACTTTTCTCAAATAATATATTTAATGTAAAATAAGTGAATAATAAGTATAATTTCAAAGAAAATTATCGTAACGATGGTCTGATATTTGCGTAATTTTTGATTATAGTTTCGAATAAAATGTGTCCAACATCGAGTACGAGTAGCATCGTCAGACGCGGAGGGAAAGGAAATCGAGTTGTGTGACGGGTTGAGTGCGCCGGATCGAGGAGGGGAGTGTTAGACTTCGAAGCACTGATCTCTATATAGCGTTGTTATTGAAGGCTGCTACAGCGAGCATGGTGCTGGCTAAGAGTGGCTTTTCATTTTGGTACATACTCGTTTTCAATTTCTAAATATCTAAATAAACAGCGAGACCGCTTTGGTCAGGTGGTTTTTAAACGTGCATTTCGTCATTCTAATATCTTTATGCATGCATAGATTTCAGCTGTTTCAAGAGCAAGAATGGAAGATTCGCATACACCTTCTTCGTCGACTTCCCGAAGCTTTCCTGCGTGTTGGTATCACGGTGACGTGGAGCGCGCATCAGTGTGAGTAGTGGTGGGGCAAATCCGAGCGAGAACTCGATGGCTACGCTCGATCTACCCAGTCTGCCCGAGAGTGCACGGCCGACACCAGCCGAGGAACCAGCTAAGGTCTCCGGTAGCCGACCGAAGCGCCTCTACATAGTATTCGGAACACGAAATCGTGCGAGTCCCGGTCGAGTCAGCCAGTGTATCGCAAGTGCGCTGTAAGTTATGTTCGAAACCACTCGACGATCGGCCGCGACAGATCTCAAGTGATACCGATACGCGATACGGTTCGTTTTTTTTTTTTTTTATCGGGAGCGTCGATTAATATTGAAAGTGTGTTCGCGGCGGTGTCGTGTGCCGTGGAATCATGATTTCCGCGCCCTAGAGCCAGAGGTGTTCAGATACTCGAATATTCGAACCGAGTCGAGACTCGTATCGGATCGGATCGAACATCTCGACTCGAATACTCGAGTATCCGAACGCCTCCGCTAGAACGAAACATTTCTTCTTCAAGTTTGAGTGTCTGGGACTTGGAAGGTGCATACGCAGCGCAACGACCGCGTTTCCTCCTTTTTTTTTTTTTTTTTTTCTTTTTCTTTCGGTCGCTTGATCGGGAAACATGTATTCCGACGGTCACGAGGTGGACGGCAGCTGGGTGCTGCGTGTCTACGTGACCGATCTTCAAATGGAGAGGAGTTTACGAGTAAAAGGAGATTTGCACATCGGCGGTGTGATGCTACGCCTGGTCGAGGGACTTGGTGAGTCCTCTGAATGTTTCTGCCTTGCATATTTTACCTTCTCCCTTTTTCCTTCTTTTTTTTTTCGCGCGCTTCCTCCGTTCGTTCCATCCTTCGCGCGCGAAATTGTCACGTGATATCTCCGTGTGTATTTTACCGTGTCGCTCGGAACGGAGCACGAAAGTTAAGCAACGTCAGATTCGAGGTGTTCCGCGAATCGCGGGTCCGGTCTTAAAAAATACCAGGTAAAACAGCTCCGCGAGTCGATCGATGGGGGTTCGGCGCGACGGAGCAGCAACAAGTTGCGGGATTATTAGCGTGTCCCGCTGGTAGGAACGCGACTGTTCAGGATATGTCGTCTCCCACCAGCGACGAATGCACGACTGAAGCGTGCACCGGGGAGTGGAAAAACTGGACGGGCCGAACTAGTTTCGCTATGACGACGGACGCACGGAGATGCGGCCAGCGACTCCTTTATATGCTAAAGGGAGCTCCCACAGGCTCGCGGGGCGACGGGGGAGACACGTGAGACCGGCAGCCGATTTCCTATGGCTCGCCGCACGTAAAACGAACACCGTACTTGCTACTTTGCTCGTAGATAAGCGTAACCGCGCCGGTGTCTGATTCCGCTCGCGAATTGCCACCGGAGAACGCAACTGATTCTGTGAATAACTTCCCCGTCTCTTGGACCATCTCTGGTTCATTTTTTCACGACTACGACTCGAAAGTTAGTGTTTTAAACGGCCTGTGCGCGGTCAATACACCGGCTAATTAGCCACGTTAAGAGCAAGATAGTTTCAGCTCCGACGAATTAGCCAATTTCGATCAATTGAGCGGTCGGTAGCCCACGTATGTACTCGTACGTACGGTCGAATAGACCCCGAGGATATCGCAGGTCACGATGTAGCCTCGTTGCAGCTGCCCTAAAAAGATATCGAGCAATTATTGTGCAAATTGTCCGTGAAATTCACTGGCGACCCGACCTCGATGATAACCGGCTGATTATTGCCGACAGTTTATTTCCGGTCATAAACGATGCACCGGTTTCGTCGACGGTTGCATAGAGAATTTTCCAAAGAGGAGATGCACCTTTCGAGCGTGTCGAAAATAGTCCGCGTCCATCGGTTTATTTTCAAGGCGTCTTTTATGTACCGCGGTGATTCACACCTACAACGGATATCGGTTTTCCCTTTTTCATCCGTTTGCAGCTTGTTTGTACGCGCTAGCGTTGGTCGTATAAATTCTTAACGCGCACCGGTCTGCCTTCTATCAGGCATCAAGCGTATTTTCGGCGCTATCTCACGAAGACGACAGTTTCGTCTCTCGTTGGCGCGAGAGAGAGACCGCCACGAGGGCTTATTTTAACTTGGCGTTTCCTCCGTACGATTTTTCGAGCTCCGGGCTTTCTCTGGCTGGTCGTGCCGACCGTGCTCCGATCCTAAAAGGTCCCTCCGACGCTCCGCCGTCGTACGATCTTTTATCCCTTCGTTAAATCTCGTCCCTTGCTCTCTAACTAAGTTACGCGTCCTCTTTTCACGTCGGCGATAAATCGCGAGGGACTACGATCCCGTGAAATTTTCTTTCGAACGAGTTTCGCGATAAAACGTACGCAGTTTCCGGTACCTATTGTTTTTCGAGCATGATTTCGACCACGAGAGAACTGCCACCCCGGAACGAACGTGGCAAAAGACTACTTCCGGTGAAAGCGGATTCCAACCGTGGTGTTTACTTGTTGTTCGCGCGAGCAACGAGATAACTCGTATCTGAAAGATATGCCTCTTCGGTGTGTAATAATGATAATTTCACTCTAGCGTCGATATAAGGTAAATGTACTAATAACTGGCCAACCAAAGATACCAGGACGGTTTTTTAAACGGCGATTAAATAATATAAATTGGCGAAAATAGTGTTCCTACTTCTTCGTATATCTTGGCGTGCTGTTCGATGATCTACGCCGACCTTGGTTGCTCGCGAAACTGCCGGAGGAGTTTTCGCCTGAATTGGTTGATCGCGTGCACTCTGGTACCGAAATCGAGATTCGGTGGACAGGGAGCAGGTAAAGAGAAGTCTCGAACAGAGCAAGAGCTTTTGTTGCGTAGGCCCTTTCTTGCCCTTCCAGCTTGACAGGTTACCGTAGTCGTACAGGTGCACGTTCACCGCCTTCGAACACGGTCGTCTCGTAACCGGTGGTAAAGCCCTACGTAAATATACCGGGTGTCCCTGGTACCAGTTCCCTTACCCATGAATATTCTAAATTCAGTACGACGACGTTGTTTCGGTGTAATTTTTCCTGCCTCTGGTCATCGTGGTCGCTTAAAATGAAATTCCAACTACTCGAATTGTTTCCCAAAATCGTGTTCAGTATCGATACTTTGAGTTATGGACACTAGCCATCACACTGTACGTCAGTAAAGTTCTGAAGAAACGTAAACATAAACGTTGAAATTTATATTCCGTCGCCGCGTGTTCTTCTAACGCTAACGCTTCTAACTTTGAAATCTAACCCAGGCGCGAAATATAAGGAGAAGAAAAGCACGTGGCTCTTTGCTCGCATAATTAACGTTCGTCGGGCGAACAGGTGCGTGTACGCGAAAGAAGTCTAAGACTCCGAAGTACCGTACATCAGTAACTCGATGACAAGACTACATTCTTCTTGCGTTGCTTCCACGAAATCGATGGAGACCCTACAGAGCGTTGTGCGCGGTAGGAAGCCGATCGTCTCCGCGATACCGAAAATGCACTCTTAATTAACGAATTCTTACGACATAACCCCTCTCAGATTAAGTAAAAATCAGGCAGAAAGATCGCTCGAGATCGAAAGTCGCGACGTGCCCGAGGGGTTAATCTACCCCCTAAACCAAGGGACAAAGCCCCAGAATCACTAACCCTCTCAACATACTCCGTATCATCGAGAAAGGGTACTCGAACGACCCAATCTTGACTCCAAGCTTGCATAAGGACGTTTTCTCTTCTTTTCTATTGGCTCGAGTCCGTGATATTAATTGCCAGGCGGTTCCCGTGATTTTTACCCTACCTAGTGCGTAGCTCACGAGCGTAGAAAATCGCCGACACGACTAGAAGAAAGGTGACAGGCCCGCAGGTGCCGATGTTTATAGTCGGTTGCGACACGTATCGTTCTGTAGGAGTCTGGACGACAAGGTAGGAGGAAGAAAAACGCCAAGAGATCCGAGTGGCGAGAGCAGGACCGAGAGCAATGACGAGTGCTCGCGTGGGCACGCACGGACACCGTCTCGCCCGCGGATTTTTACCTTTTATCCGATCGACGATCGCGTCTTCCACGGAGGCGTAAAGTCCCCGCGAACGTGCGACTTACTCGACGAAAGAGCGAAAGAGAGAGAGAGAGCCACTTAACTCGAATTATCTGCTCGGCTTACGTGTACGGGCTCGGATTACGCTTCGTAATTTTATATTCCGGCTACCTAGCACGGATCAGCGTTCGGAGCACGGCTTTGTTACGAAATTGCGTCTGTCCCCTGGTGGAGAAAAGGCACGCCATCCTGAACCGCGCTACCTCCAATTAAATTTAACGTAAGCGCGAACCGATCACCTTCCCGCAAAGATCAGAGGTTGAAGTTTGCTCACGACTCTGGCTGGAATTATTCTCAGCTCGTTATCGAAACGTTGCGCAATCCTCTTTAATCGGTACGCGTTCATTTCTGGTCTCATCGCGTCGACTCGGACTACGCGGACGAAACGACGTTTAAATGTCAGAAAGGACGAAACGTTCGGGAGATATTACGATCGGACGAGTTTCGGTGAGGCTGTTCCTTGGCCGAATTCTCCGGCTCTCGCGGCCTCGTCCTCGATACCGGTCATTTCTCTCTTCTCGCTCGCGGTTACCAGGTGCAGAAGAATCGAAGGCACTTATTGTAGTGCACCCGGGGACCGTTTCGCCATTTGGAGGCAAGGTCGGCGTTACGGTACTCGGACGAGGCGTGCGAGGTTCTTTTACCTTGGAAAGCCTTCCTTCGCACGACCGACCAGCCACCTTCGTGCCGTTAACACGACGCCGACGATTATTGCCGTATATCACTCTTGATCGATCATCCTACACCGCTATCTTATACGTGTATCTGGAACCAGGTTACCGCCTCGTTATCCCAGTATCCTGAATACCGTACAATCAGCGGTTACGGTGTCGAAATCATCGCGTATAGAATGTTAATTAGTCCATCGATGCGCCGGTGCTTCATTTTCTAACGCCAGAACTCGCTTAAAATAGACATTTCTTTCGACCCTCCCCAAACGAAACGACACAGGACCCCTTCGTTCGATCCATTTACTCCCAAATTATTCTCGAACCATATCGTTCTTCTCATGCTCGATGGAAATTAACATAATCTGCGTTTGTCGAACTAGCGATTTTCAACAATTCTTCGCCATTGTTTGATACTCGAACCTCGGAATAATTTTCATATTTTGTTAAGAGCGGTGATACGATATCTACTTATTATCTAATATATTTGCTTTCAGACAGACATATCCGACGATGGCAATAAAGGATATGGATACCCTGCATATTTTCTACGACGTCTCCCCGATAAGATATTATCGCGCGTACTTGCAAGGATTACGATAGTGATCCACGCATAGCTGCGTGCAAACACAAGTTTCGATCCGTGAGAGATACAGGAAAATTGAAGTCAACGAGACGTAACGTCCGACTCGACATCTGGCACTGCGCTTTTTTCATTTCGCTATCGTATCTTTGGTCACCGAGTTTCACCGGTCCCGTTGCCGAGATATTTCTTAACCGCGGCACGTCCCGGAGCAAAGTTTAATCTATTGGGTCACTACTGTGTGCTGTATCCGCGTCTCTGAAACGTGTCCTCGCGAAAATAAGCCTCGCAGCTTATCGTTCTCGCTCGTTCGACTCGCGGTATCTCCTAACAGCGACCAAGGTATCGCTTTGATCTCCGCGACGAGACTTGCCCCGAGGCATGTCTCGCGACAAGCGATGGGTTCGAGATCGTTTCGAATAATTTTGCCCAGAGTCCCCT